AGTTCTTTTCAACTTGATCTATAGACTCAACACAATCCCAGTAAAAATCCTAGCAAGTTATTTTGTGGCTATTGACAAACTGATTTTAAAGTTTATATGGAGAGGCAAAGGACTCAGGGTAGCTATCACAATATTAAAAGAGAAGAATGAAGTCAGAGGGCTGGCCAAGTGGCTCAGTCTGTTAAGAGCGTGAGCTCTGAGCAACAGAGCCGCTGGTTCGATTCCCATATGGGCCAGTGAGCTGCGCTCGAGCTGAGCTGCTGCTGAGCTGCCAACAGGTGGCAGGATGGCTCAGTTGGTGAGAGCATGTGCTCCTAACAACAAGGTTGCCGGTTCGACTCCCACATGGGATGGTGGGCTAATCCCACTCGCAACTAAGACTGAACAGGACACCTTGAACTGAGTGGCCGCGAGCTGCCGACGGGCGGCCAGATGGCGACTGGACTTGGAGCTGAGCTAGCTGCGCCCTCCACAACTAAGACTGAAGGACAACAACTTGGCTGTTCCCCTTCCCCAATTCCCCAGTAAAATCTTAAAAAAAAAAAAAGAATGAAGTCAGAGGACTGACAGACTTCAAGACTTATGATAAAGCCACAGTAATCAAAACAGGATGGTACTGGAGAAAAATAGACAAATAAATCAATGGAAAAAAATAGAGAGCTCAGAAATAGATGCAAACAACTGATCTTTGGCAAAGGATTTAAGGCAATGCAATAGAGAAATCGGTTTTTCAACAAATAGAGCTGGAACAACTATGTATTCACATGCAAAAGAAAACAAGAAAAAACAAAACTGAATCTAGATACAGACCTTACCCTGTCTCTCTCTCTCTCTCTTTCTCTCTCTCTCTCTCTCTCTCACACACACACACACACACACACACACACACACACACACACACACTCAAAGAAAGAAAAAAAGAAAAAACTCAAAATGGATCATAAACCTAAATATAAAACTCAAAACTATAAAACTCCCAGAAGATAACAGAGGAGAAAATCTAGATGACCTTGGATTTGGTGATGACTCTTTAGCTATTGTACAACACCAAAGGCATGATACATGAAAGAAATAATTGATAAGCTGGACTACATTGAAATTAAAAAAAGAAAATCTTTTGTTCTATGACAGACAGTGTCAAGAGAATGAGATGACAAGCCTCACACTGGGAGAAACTATTTGCAAATTTGCAATAGACATAACTGATAAAGGATTGTTATCCAAAATATATAAAGAACTCATAAAATTCAACAATAAGAAAAACAATTTAATTTTTTTCAAACAACCCAATTTAAAAATGGTCCAAAGACTTCAACAGACACCTCACCAAAGAAGATACACAGATGGCAAACAACTATATGAAAAGATGCTCCATATCATATATCATTAGGGAAATGCAAATTAAAGCAACAATGCGATACCACTACACACCTGTTAGAATGGCCAAAACCCAGAACACTGATAACACCCAATGCTGGAGAGGATGTGGAGCAACAGGAGCTCTCATTTGTTGCTTGGTGGGAATGCAAAATGGTCCAGCTAGTTTGGAAGATAGTTTGGCAATTTTTTATAAAACTAAGCATACTCAGATCATACAATCCAACAAACACACTTGTTGGTATTTATCAAAGGAGCTGAAAACTTATGTCCACACAGAAGCCTGCTAATGGGTATTTATAGCCATTTCATTCATAATTTCCAAACTTGGAAGCAACCAAGATGTCCTTCATTTGTGAATGGATAAAAAAACTGTGGTATGTCCAGACAATGGAATATCATTCAGCATTAAAAAGAATTGAGTTAGGGCCTGCTGAGTGGCGCATTGGTCAGGATTTGACTTGGGACGCCACCTCTGAGCAGCAGGGCCCTGGTTCGGATCCCACATGAGGGCCAGTGACGCTGAGACCTCTACAGCTAAGATGCTGAACAACAGCTCAACCTGGGCTGCTGCGAGTCGCAGGTGACGGCATAGGCTGCAGTGGGGCTGGCTGGCAGCTGGCGTGAGCTTTCGTGAGCTGCTGTGAGCCACCATGAGTGGCCTTTCAGTGGCTGGCGATGGATCTGCCTCTCCCAGGAAGAGCGCAATGATAATACCAACATGGGCCAGTGAAGCGACGTCCTCCACAACTAGACTGAAGAACAAAAGGACAGCAACCTGTCTGTTCCATTCCCCTGATTCCCCAATAAAAATCTTAAAAAAAAAAAAGAAAAAAAAGAAATTAGTTATCAAGCAGTGAAAAGATACAGAGTAACCTTAAATAACCTAGAATATCACTAACCTAATATTACTAAATGAAATAAGCCAATCTGAAAAGGCTACATGCTATGTGATGCCAACTATATGACATTATGGAAAAGACAAAACCTTGAAGACAGTGAAAAAAAGATCAGTGGTTGCCAGGGGTTGGACGGGAGGGAGGAATGAATAAGTGAAGCACAGAGGATTTTTAGGGCAGTGACACTACTCTGTATATTGCTGTAATGGTGGATTCATGTCATTGGACATTTGTTGAACCCCATAGAATGTACAATACTAGGGATGAAACCTAATATAAAATATGCACTTTGGGATATAATGACGTGTCAGTGTGGGTTCATCATCAATTGACATTATAATGTGGTAGGTTCATCAACTGTAACAAAAGTACCACTGAGGTGGGAGCAGTTGGTAGTTGGGGCTGTGCGTGTCAGGGGACAGGGAGTATATGCGAACTCTCTGTACTTCTGCTCAAATTTGCTGTGAAGTTAAAACTGCTCTAAAGATAAAGTCCATTTGAAAGGGGAAAATAAACAAACTAAATAACCAACTAGAAATAAAAATAAACCAAGTACAGGTCTTTGCCTTGACAGAGAAGCCCTTTACCCTTGAACTTTTGCTTTCTCAGCGTCCCACCACAAACTTTTGTTCTAGCTACAGCAGCCTGTTCAAGATCCCCCAAATATGACTACCCTTTCCCACTGTCTCCCCAACTCGCCATGTCTTCTCCCCGCTCTCAAGCACAGCTTGTAGGAGTCCTACAGCTCCCTGGTTCATCCTTTCCAGGGGGGATGTCTCTGGCCTCTGAATACCCCACATCTGTGCCAGTCACCTGGCTCTGAGCATTGCCACGCTGTGGTGTTAGGTAGAGCATATGGTATCTATATACTGGGGGTGCCAAAGAAATGTATACACACTTTAAGACAGGAAAAAACTACATTAAAATTGTAATTCTCAATATATACCAATAAGAAAAGATGAAGTCAAGTCATGTGTATACATTTTTGGGGCACCCCTGGTATATATATTAGCACTCTAGTGTGCAAATTCTTTCAGGACATGGACCTTGCTTATGATTTGTGGCATCTCCCTCAATCTTACTTGCATTTAATTCAAGGATTAAATCAAAGTATCAAAATCTACATCAAAATTTCAGAGCGAAATGAAAATGAACCTGTTTCCAAGACTAATGATCTGAGAGCCTTTTCCTGGGGCAGCAAGCTCTCATCTCTTCTGGCATCTCTCTTGTTCCTTCAGAGCTCTAGAGCAGCGATTCTCAGCTGGGTGCAACTGGCAGTGTCCACATTTGATGGTGGTGGTGGGAGAGGGTCTTGCAAAAGCTCCCCAGTTGACTCCATGCTCCCCCTTCTCTACCCAGCCCCAGCCACAACCACTATAACAGAACCACTGCTCTAAAATTAAACCTTTAGGGCAAGGCAACATTTGTCCTCTCAACTAGGTATATTCTACCAGGGAAATCAGATTCTTTTTCTATGTACCTTAATTATACAAATACATCAGGTAAAAGGTACTGTGTCCTTGCCCCAAATTATCTGAGCCATGATCTCAATTTGATCACTATGTTTTAACAGTTCCCACCTTATAGAGTATTCAATGCCACCTTGTTCTGTAGATTTCCGTGTGTCCAAAAAAAAAATACACCATGTTTTTTTGTCTGTCCTTGTGAGTCTGAAAAATTATACAGGATTTTGATAGCATGTGTGCCATGTGTATTTATGGTGCTTGCAGGTACATACATGCATAACATACTAATTAAATTATTCTAAAAACACAAATATTTTGCAGGGCTACAGAAACACATACTAAATATCTAAATCTACAAACTGCTGACAAACAGCACCTTTTCTAACAAAAGAGAGCAGTTTAATAACAGTGTTAGAAAACTGGCAATATGTTTGTTAAAATCTTTAATTAGGGATGAGCTTTCCCAGAGGCCTCTGAAGGCAAAAGGTGTAAATGGAGAAACTGTCCCAGCCTGCATGCTTGGTGGTGGCTCTGTTCGGAGCACAGATGGGCTGGTGAGGAAACTGTGAATGGACAAATGATAACAGACTATTCTGTAATTCCAACATCAGCTCATTAACAATCTGTCAGAGATTTTAATATGTATACTAGTGAAAGTGCAGGAATCATGGGATTGTTACACGATCGTGCACATGTCGAACTGAAAAAGCCATCATAGATGGATTGACATAATGGCCATTAATAAAATGATAATGTCATCAGAAGCATGGGTGTTTGAATGCTTTGTAGTCTTGCTGGAAAATCATTTTGTGTGCTCTTGGGCTATCCTAGGAAGCTGAGATAACAATGGTTTCACGATGGAAATCACTGATAAATAAATAGCGAGGCCAGCATGGTGGGAACTGTGAGGAACATGAAGCCATATGGGTTTCTAAAGAATGAACAGTGACATTTCCTAGTTTTGAAAAAAAGACTACGTCAACAACTTTAAATTCCCTTGGATCGCAAACCTGGTTTCCAAATAATTTTATGCATGCTAGTCAGTGGTTCAATTAGTTGCCATTGAAAATATATTTATTAAAAAAAAGAAAAAATTATTTAGGCGGTGTCTATACACAGGCTGACTTTGATGGATAATCAAGATTTGGTCTCTGAAGGGAGAAAGAGAATGAACATTTATAGAGCACCAGGTGCTTTACATTTGTGATTTTACTTAATTTTCACAACTACCCTATGAGATATTTTCCTCATTTTACAGGTGTAAAGGTAACTGAGCCCCAGAGAGATTATGTGACTTCATGAAGATAACATGTCTGGTAAGTGGAGATGATTCTATTTGAACACAGTGCTGTATGCTTCCAAAGCTAATCTTTTCCCCATGGCATTACATTGCCTCTAAAGTTATCTGTCATGTGCCCTGGGAGTAGCCTGTTAGGATCCTTATTACTCACTATGAACAGACACAAGGGCCCCAGAGTTTCAGCTGGGCTCAACTTGGATGAAGACATCCATTTTCAATGGCACAAATGGACACTGATTTATTTAAAGTATATGCTTCAAAATTTCTTTTTGGAGGATATCTGTGCTTCACTATTGGGACATGTCTGCACAGGACATGAAAAGTTAAACTAATGGTCTATAAAGTCTAGTCAAAGGCTGGCCGAGTGGCGCATTGGCTGAGAGTTCTTGGGACGCCAGCTCTGAGCGGCAGGGCTTGGCTCGGATCCCACATTAGGGCCGGTGATGCTGCGCCCTCTACACCTAAGATGGTGAACAACAGCTCAACCTGGAGCTGGGCTGCTGTGAGTCGCCAGCTGCAGCGGGGCTGGCGGGCAGATGGTGTGCACTTTCATGAGCTGCCATGAGCTGCCATGAGCGGCCGTCCAATGGCCGGTAAGCGACTGCCTCACCAGGGAAGAGCGCAATGATAATACCAACATGGGCCAGTGAAGCAACGTCCTCCACAACTAGACTGAGGAACAGAAGGACAGCAACTTGTCTGTTCCTCTTCCCCGATTCCTCAACGCTGTTCCCCTCCCCCAACTCCCTAATAAAAAAATCTTAAAAAAAATAAAAAATAAAATCTAGTCAAAAATAGTCTGAAAGAGTACATATATTATATGATTGTATCTGTATGAAGCTCAACAACAGGTCAAATGGATTAAAGCTGTTAGAAGTCAGGATGGTGGCTTACCTTTGGGAGCATAATGACTGCAGGCAGGCACCTGGATGTCTGGGTCTCAGGCACCCCTCTGTTCCATGATCTGGTAGCTGGTTTTACCAGTGTGTTTGCTTTGTGAAAAAGGTGTTGAGTTTGTAAACTTATGTTTGAACACTTTACTGTATGTATATCATACTGCAGTAACATTTACCACCCCCACTCCCCAAAATAGAAAATAGAATTTTTTTTCCTTACATGATTCAAATTGCATACCTACTTTTCAATTTCCATAGTTTGTAGCCTAGGGCAAACTTGTTCTTTATGTGAAGCTTTGAGTTGGAAATCTTCTCCTTCTAGAGTATGGAGAGTATGAGAGGGGAATATGTGTCTGCCTTTGTTCATGTGAGTGAGTATTTGTGCTCACACCCGTTCATATCCTGAAAACAGGTATATTTCTACACCTGTATTCTTCCTGACTCCTGGAAAACCTGGGGTGGAAACAGAATACTAGTCAAATGTGAATTGTATATAAGTGGAGCTTGGAGGTGGAGCTATCTTGTTTGGTGACCCCTTCCTTGTTGGCAGCCGTCTCCTGTGCAAATGTAGCAGTGGCGGTCACCTTCCCCTTTCAGGAACCAACTTCTCCAGCCAAGATGTTGAACCCACTTTTTCCTTGTGTTTTCTCCCCATTCCTCCTCAACTCTCCTCATTGCCAGGATCCAGTGGAAGAGCCAAAGGTCTGCTTGAGGAGGAGGTATGCATCCCACAGGCAGCTGAAGGGCTGATTCTCAAGGCTCTTAGACAGACATCCTATTCACCAGTACCTCAGACATACTTCCTACCCTAGAGCATACACGTACTTGCCTTGATGACTCATTCTTTTTTTTTTTTTTATCAATAAGGTAACTACAAATGAGGTAGATTATTGAAACACTGCATGGCATAGCCTTTGCCAAAATAACAGCCTCACTTCTAGAACTTTATCCTAAGGAAATCACAGACAAGTTTACAAACATGTATATTTCTCAAAGTGTGGTTTGAGAACTGCCAGCCTCAATATCACCGGTAGTGTTTGGTAAAGGGCAGATGGCTGGATCTTAGACCTGTCTTACTGAAGCAGAATCTCTAGATGTGGGGCCTATGCATCTCTATATTTAAAATAACCCAGATATTTTTTGGTCATATTAAAGTCTGAGGATCAATGACGTACAGGGAAGTTGTTACAATCTTATTTAAAAGAGGACTGAAAAAAGGGGAGGCTAAATGTTTACCAGAAGAGGATTAATTAAAGTAACAATGATACAGTAATATTCTGCAGCTTGGAATATATGGTATTGATCCATATTTATTGACATGGAAAAAGGTTCACACCATATTGCTGAATGACAAAGAGCAGATTACACTACAGTGTATATTATCTGATAACATTTTTGTTTCTAAATATGTGTGTGGTGATGCCAAAATATCAACAGTGTTTATCTCTGGATGATATCCTTGTTTTTCATTACTTTCCTCTAGAATTTCTGATTTTTTTTTGCTTTAATGCATAAAGTAAAATGCATTAATTTAATATTCTAATAACTGAATAAAGCTATTTAAACACAGAAAAGAAAAAGTGTTTGATAATTGATTTCCTGGATAGGTGCTACAAGTGTGCCATCTCAGTGAAATTTGTGGCTCGTTAATTCAGAAGATAGCAATGGTTCTTTGATCCTTTTAAGATATGAGTTATCTAGAAGACATCTCTCTGTTGGTCCACAGATCAGTCAATACTGGCACTGGAGTGGAACCTTCTGAACACAACAGTGACTTTATGCCTGATTTCTAAATCATAGGGGTTTCTACTCATTAGAACTAGTGCCTTCTGTGGAAGTTAAGCATGGTGAGGAAGGCAGAGAAATGCTTTCTCTAATTTTGGGAAGTGAATCTGGTACTCAAAGGTAGACTGTCCGACTCTTCTATATAGGAAAAGATTTGCAGCAATGGAAAAGCATACTAAAAAAAAAAAAAAGATGGGTAATTGAATTGCAGTTATATCCTGCTTTTAATGATTTCTTTCAACCTGTTGACCCTAAAAATGTGTTTCTCCTCCTTCCCCTCCCCCCTTCCCTCTCCTCCTCATAATAAAAAGAGAGGTGAAATGAAATCCACTGAAAAGTCTGGTATTTTATCTCTCAGACCACAATTTTGAGAGTGCATTTTTATTAATCCAATTCTGTGTTAAACGTTGTGAGGATGTACCATAATTGGCTGTGGTAAATGACACTGGCACCACATTGCCACTCACTCTGGAGATGATATGAGCTCAGCACGCTGCTGATCAAATGCAATTTTCTGCATTAAAACTATTATAGGCAGAATGCCTCGATGAGATTCTTTCCTCCCTTATGGTTCTCCAGGGTTTATGCTGAAAGGGTTCTGTCAATCACGTCTGAAAATCAGCTTAGCACCCTGACTCCGGTTAATAAAACGCAACTGGCAGGATCTCAGCGCAGAGGCCACAGTTCCCTGGTTCTGACATTATCAAGCCCCACTAAAAATGCCTCATTATAATTGATACTCACTGATAATACACTTCTTCTTTCTCTCTTTCTTTCTTTTTTTTTTTAATGCAAAGAATACCCCGAGAAAGAATCTGTGCCTTCCACAAAGCTTGCTAGAAGAGAGCCCCTTATCAAAGACAGGTAGTCAAGAAGCAGAGCAGGCTAAATATGTTTTCACCAGTACCCTGGAGACACACGTGGTGCAGATTCTGGCTTCCTTGGGTGGCTTGGAGTCAGGATAATGTACCAAGAATCAATACAGAAATAGGGATATGGTTGTGAAGGGAGCTCTGATAGCACTGTCACCAATAATGGGAAGTTGAGAATTCCAAATGAAAAAAATTTTTATTTTACTAAGGAAACAAGATGTCACAATGCAGAAAGCCTGTGACAACTGATATGCCAGTTAGAAGAGAAAAAAGCCTCTTGAATTACTAAGTCACTGCCTGGCTGTGTGGTCCCCATATCACCATCTCTCAGTTCTTCTAAGACGAAGGCTTCTAGGTCAATTGATTCCAATTCTCTTCAAAAAGAAATATTTCTCTTCTGGTTTCTTGGAGAGAGGCACCCCACACTAAAACAATCCACATTAAAACAACATTAGGGAGGTCAGAGTGCTGGAGGGAAGCTTGATGGCTTTCAAACTCATTCTACTTTCTAGAAAGTTTTTGCTGGCTGCCTCTGAGGAAGAAGAAAACGGAAAACACAAACAAAGCCTGGGGGTGAGGTGGGGGGGGTGTTGTCATCCCCTGAATTCTCAGCTTGGTGGAACATCATGAAGGTGTACAACAAAGTAGGAAACTGAGGAAGGAACGCTATTAATTATACTTCAATGGTGTTTCAGGAGCAACTGGGGTGATTTCACAGGAAGGGAGAAGAAAACAGATTTCATGGGTGATAGAGTTCTTGTTAAGAAAGTTTTAATGAGGCACTCTGGGCACGGTCTTAGCACAACTAAAATGGCTCTGGAGGCTGTGGGGTCACATGACATTAATAAAAGAGACAGCTAAACTCCATTCTATTTGCTTCCGATTCCTTCCTAAACATTAATTGCCTGAATTTCCCTGGTCAGGTGAAAAGAATAAGCATACCCAAATTTTTTGTTTGATTGTTTTACAGCGTTGGCCTGTCTTTCTTCCGGATGTGTTTTTCTTCAGTTGTATATTCCAGCATACATTCCCCTGTGTGCAGGTGAGGAGCAGAGCTTCCAGCACTCTCTTTCGGATGCGTTAGGACAGGCGTGTATTGAGGACTTATGTTCTGCCCCTTGTGCTGAGCTCTTTATAAACCTTATCTCCTCCTGATCCCCACACAATCCTGTGCAGTTGGTAGTAGTGTTCATTTTATTCCCAATTTACAGGGAAATTGAGTAAGAGGAAGGTTGAATCACTTGCTTAAGATCATCCAGCTTGTAAGTGGATTCTGACCTGTTCTGTCTATCTCCAAAGCTCTGCTCCTTCACTGCTATGCTCTATACCTTCTGGATTCATGGAGCTCCATGTTTGAGCCCTTCCTGATATGAGTGCTAAGGGTCCTGTAGTTGGTAAGAAAGGGTGCTCCATCCCTACCCCTTGAATTAACCCCTGGGTTATTATGATCCAGACTTGCTTTGAGAAAGTGTTGCTCCTGAAGAGGAGACAGCCTGCTAAGGAAAGTGCTCTAGGTCAGAGAGATCTGATTTTCAGCCTTGGCTCTCATACATCCTAGCTGTGTGACCTGGGCCAGATAACTTAACCTCTCTGAACTTCAACTACCCAGCATCATATTTAACATAGGAAGAGCTAAAAAAAAATTATTAGGGCTATATGAGCCCTGGATTGTACTCAGTCTCTGTGTTTCTAGAAAGGTGACAACTATAGGGGGTGGGAAGTGAGAATACAATGAGTGTGTTTAGGTGAAAAATATAGCAGAGTTGATAAAAAATGGACAATAATGATGCCACCCACCTTTCCCAAGCAGACATTACCAGCTGATCATGGCACCATTTCGTGATGAGCCTGGATTCAGTATCAGATTTCTTCTTAAGGTTCCAAGCAGTTCACTGGAAATGACATTGAAGATGAAACCTATTTATCCTGTCAAGCATAGGTACGTAAAAAAAGGAACTGCGCATGTACAGGAGTAAAATGAGAAGGTAAAGTATCTAAAGAAGAAACTAAAGAGTGAAACTGTGCAACCTGAGCCTTGCTTCTTCTCATTTTGTTTTTCTTTATGATTTTTTTTAAATTTATAATCCTTTTTACATTAATAGAAAGTGGATCTCATGGCTGGAGTGATATCCTCAGTTGGAAACTAACACTGGTGGCTACTTTACATAGCGTATCTTCTGTAAGGCTTATAATAATAGCCTAGTACTATAAGATTAGTAGCCCCATAATATAGTTGAGGAAACTGAGGGTCAGAAAAGCTGAGCAGCTTGCCCAATATCATGTAGCTATTGAATGGGTTTAAGCGTAGGACCATCTAGCACCAAATGCTGTCCTCTTTCCACAACACCAGTGTGGACCCATGCAATTTTGAGTTCTAGGCCTGCTGCAGATAACCTAGGCCCGCCTCTGCTCCTCCGCCTTCCCAGGCTTCCCAGCATCTAGGCCCACTGATCTCTCTGTCTGCCCTGGTGCACAGAGCAACAGGGCCGGAGGCAGGCTTCCTTCCCTGCAAAATATTGCAGGAAATTTGATACTAGAAAAAGTTTACTGAAAGTAAATCTGCTCAAATTGGGTTTTCCAACTTTAATAGTAGTTAACAAAAAGGGGGGGGCGGGAGGAGGATTGGATTGGCACCTTATCTGAAAATTGAAACTAAAACCTATGAAAATAGGTATAGTCCAAGAATTAATTCTGTGGACCCAATTACCCCAAAGCTTAGTAGCATGAAACAATTAGTTAACTGATTCAAGAGATTCTTGGAAGGTTTTCATCATCTTGCTTTGGCCTGGAGGAGGTCCGAGCATATCTGTACATTGTAGGGGAAAGATAGATTTTAGATTCAATAAAGAGAGAATACGTGATGTGAGAGTGGATGTGACCAAAAATTCGGGTGGAAGATTAGCCTGGGAAAAGGCAGAGGAGAGAAGAGAAGGAAGTGGGGATGGAGTAGGGTGTCCTGGGCTGAAATTCAGTGTACCACTGGGGGCTCCGGCCCTGGACTGTGTGCTAGGTGGTAGTTTTCCAGCTGCATCTCTGGACATACTAACATTTAACATCTAACCAAAAATTAATGCCCCAAACTCATGCATTTCTACATCTGTCAAAGCTAAAAGGGGCGTCTGAGACAGATTTCCTTTTGTTTTCACCGGCGTGTCAAACACCGCAGTGACAGGAAAGACATCATCTTCAGTTTGTGTATAATGAGGTCTGAAATTTCCATCCCCACACATTGATCATGAATCTTATTTCACTAGATAAATTGACAGCAGAGTCTCAGGTACTTAAAATTTTGAAAAAAATCAACACAACCACCCACATCTATGGATTTTTTTTTCCTGCTGTCATTTTTATGGCTCAGTTATTTTGTCTGGATTCGTTTCCAGTTTTGTCTGGATTCATCAACAGTCAAATCATTCCTTAATCCTAGACATATACTCCTCTTCCTGAAAATTAATTCAGTAGAAAGACAAACTAGTTTGGGAGGCAGAAAAACTGATCTAGTCTTAACTCTGCTGTTAACCAGCAAACTTACCTAATCTAAGTCACTTAACCTCAGACTCCTTATCTGAAAAATGTATTCCACCAACAAATATTTACTGAGTACTTACTATGTAACAAGCACTGTTATAAATGCTTAGGATACATCAGTGAAAAAACAAAGAACCCTCCCCTCAGGGAGCTTACACTCTGGACAAGTCAGATGATGGAAACAAATGCCACAAGCAGGATAGTTATAACATATGATAGATGGTGAAAAGTGTTATGGGGAAAATTTTAAATAAAGTTGGAGTGGAGGCAGATCAGGAGAAGCCCCTGAGAAGGTGACTGGCATGAGGCGAAGGGGTTACCATGAGGCTGTCTGGAGGAAAAATAGTCAAAGCAAAGTCCCTGAGGGTATTGCCTCAGCCTTCAGTTTCCTCCACACTCTGTGTGGCTTGTTGACCTCAGAGAAGGTTTATAATGCAGCCCCCATACTATTCCATACATCTCTTTGAACAGCCAACAAGTGACCTGCTCTTCCCTGTGAGCTAGCTAGCCCCATGGGCTTTAGGTGCAAGCACCTGTTCCCTTACATTTACTTCCAGGGGCCTCTGGGTGGTATTTTCCTGCTATCCAAAAGGCTAGCTGTGTATTATGCCAAGCATGACTGGGAATGTCCTTCCTGCTCTGCACAGGACAGCTGAAGCCAGAAAAGGTGTATTAAAAAGACCTGGCTCGGGGCAGCTGGTTAGCTGAGGTGGTTAGAGCACAGGCTCGCAACACCAAGGTTGCCGGTTCGACTCCCACATGGGCCACTGAGCTGAGCCCTCCACAACTAGATTGAAGACAACAACTTGACTGGGAGTTGATGGGTCCTGGAAAAAAACACACTGTTCCCCAATAAAATTAAAAAAAAAAAGACTTGGCTCTTGAGAAAGTAACTATGATTTCTGAATATCTCTTATGTACCAGGCACTTTACATTCTTTATTTCCGCTAATCTTCACAACACTTCCACCTCTCTCTGAAGTGAGCATTTCCCACTTTACAGATAAGGAAACAGAGGTTCAGATTGTTTAGGAAACTTACCTGTAGTCACATAGCTAGTAAGTTTCATAGCCAGAATTTATTTACCAGGTGCATGTTCTTTCAGCTATACCACAGGGCTTTTTTTCTTTCTAAGAACCCTTAATCTCATCAGACAGCCTACCACATTATAACTGTGTGATCATGGGCAAGTTACTTAACGTTTCTGAGCCTTCATTTCCTCATTTGTAAAATATGTGTAAGTACCGTATTTGCCGGCGTATAAGAC